TGGTTTTCTTTCTCTCTGCCTCAAGAGCTGCCTCTTTTTCCTTCCTCGTCAAAGAGATCTCTTTCCTTAGGGTTTTTGACTAATTTTTAGTTTAATTCTCAATTAAACATATTTTTGGGTTTATGGGCTTTTGAAGATAAAACAATATATTTATCCAACATTTCAAGTCACTATAGTGGGCTTTTCCTTTGTCCAATTTTTATTATCGATCCAATATATATTTTCACTCAAAACTTTAAAATTTCCGGGACACGGTCGTGACAGAAAACAACTCTCACTAGTAATGTGAGCCGTTCTTGAGTGTTTAAGAGGTCACGTATTCGTGGGTGTTATCACAGGATCTGGGTAGACTAGGAAACTTCGTCAGACATGAATCACGTGTTGTGGGTTGGTGATTCTGGGTAGTTAGGAAGTCTTTGTTGTTTACATTTTAGATGCTCAAATTTACGAATGAATAAAGGTGTATTCGTTTGATAGATACAAGTGTTCTACTTCTGTGTTCCTCTGCTATACATTGTGCATCTGTGGCTGTAACCTTTACGTAAGTAACAGCTGATTTGTGTGGTTGATCTTTCGCACGTAATCTATAATGGGTAAACGATTAGAAAGGAACAAAATGTCTTACGTTATTATGTTTTGTTGTTTTCTAGAGAAGTGACAATCAAAGCACGTTTTTGTTGTTGTTGCCCAACTTCTAACCCACACAGGCACGGTCACGAATGTGCCCTAACATCCAATACATTTCAATTTTCAAAAGAGACAAATATTTATATAGTACTACAATGGGCCGACCTCGTACTGTCATTAGTCTACGCTACACACATTTATTGTATGTTTGAACATCGCAAGTTTGGAAGATGCTAGATCTGTGATCTCTATGTTTTCTAGAGACTATAGACTATACGCTAATTTGGGAAGATGCATTCGGGACAAATATAGACTTAATTATAAAGTTAACGTGGAAGTGGTCCAATGTAACAAAGTCTGAATACTCAGAATACGTAATAAGAGAAGTAGGTTCTAATATCAATCTAAAAACTATATTGGAATATTTTATTTTTAAATACTTAGCGTGCCACATAAATATTTTTTGCCGACATTTTCTCAAAAAACATATTTTATGTAAATGTATATTGACTATTGAGGATATTATTTGGGTGTTGTATTTATTAGGGCCTTTTTATTATGATCTGTGTTATTTAAAAAAATAATCTTAAAACAAGTTTAGAGAAAACTGCACAAAGACAAGGAGTATTTGTAGTTTATGGAAATTAAATTCTTCGGATGTGATTTCATTAGGTTTTTTTTTTTGAAGAAGTTTCATGAGTCTCTTGCGACAAGGTATGCTCGAATAGTTGAAGATATCTTTTGGAATAGCTGGAGAACGTCGAGTAGAAGTCTCGTCTTCTAGAGGGACAGGTACGCTCACAGCTAGCATGATAAGCTCTCGTTGGATAGTTGTAACTTGTAACCTCTCCCCAGAGCAACGGTAAAGCATGCTTAAATGTTATTCTTCAATATTGACATCCAATTTATTAAATGGACTCTTTCATATATATGTGTTGCATACCACGTATTTTCCATACTCTTTC